CGCCCGCCGATGCTCCCCGCAGCTGCCCAGCGGTCTCGGCGGAGGGAGCGCCGGGCTGGGGGGTTCTCCTGACGGCTCACGCTTTGCAGGCTGGTCCCCTACGGAGCGCTCAGGCTGCGGCGTGAAGCTGCTGCGTGGCTGGTTTGGTGGTTTTTCTTTTTTTTCTTTTTTTTTTGGGGGGGTGGATTGCTGCAAGGGCTCCCAGCTGGGACGTGGATGTGTCGGGCATCACCTGCCTCGGCTCGGGGCTGGGGGAGCGGAGCCATCTCCCCAGGACGGTGCCGGGCCGCGGGAGGAGACACGGTGGCCGTTGCCCACAGGAGCAGTCAGCGGGTGCGGGGGAGTCCTCGCCCCGCGTCGCACAGGGGCAAAGAGCAAAACTGTCTGCAGGACCCCCCCGCCAGCGGCTGCCATGGATACCATGGAAAGCTCAGCGGCGACGCTCCGCACGCCCCGTTATAGGAACTCGACGTAGTTCTCGGGGATCAATCCTGTCTTCCCGTTGAGGGTCCCCTCCAGCCAGCCGGGCTCCTGGGATGGGTGGACTTGAGGAGAGAAGGAGAAGGCGAGTTACTACAGGAGGGGGTCACGGCCTGAGGCTCTCTGCGCGCTGCCAGCCTCAAACTTGCTCTTGGGATGGAGCGAGACCTTTAATCTGGATTTATTTTAAAATCAGGAAACGAACACACTGAGAGCTCAGAAAGCTGAAGCGCTCTCCCCTGCTCACCCCCGGGACCCCCCCGCGCTCCCGCCGGAGGTCAGAGACCACCCAGGGGAAGCACCTGAAGGACGAGCGAGCCGCACGCTCCGCTGCGGGCTGGCGCTGCGGGGCTGGCCCAAGCGAAGCGTTTGGGATAAAAACAATCCAACACAACTTTCCTACTGCGGTGCAGAACTGCAGTCTCCGGCAGCAGCAGCTCGGCGGGGGCACCTGCTTCAGAATAGGGCTGGTTAAAAACACGCGGGCCTCCCTTCCCCGGCCCGTGGCTCTCACCTGACCCGATTTCAGGCCCCCCCACCCCCATTTAGTGCCACGACAAGTGCCCAAGATCTGCTGGAAAATCCAGGTTTTGTGTAAGTGAAAGGAACCGCACCACGTTTAACCGTGCCTCTAAACCCGGTGTTGTTTACACCCCGATTTCCCCGCCGGACCGAGATGCTGCTCTGCCGTGGGCAACCTCAGAGAACCTTAAAGCTCTAAGTATTTCCAAGATCCACTTGCTTCACTGGGTTTTATAAACCCCTTCATCATAACTCTATTTCTACCAAGCAGTGCTGTTTCGAACTCACTTCCTCCAGTTAATGTGAGCCCTGGCTACGCTGCTAAGTGATTAGAACATGCTGTATATTTTTTTCCCTTGAATAAACCATTGATTTTTATCTAGAAAACACAATGTATTTAATTCAGACTTGTTCCTCTCCTAGCTGCTCTAATTCCCACAGGCTCTCCAAGGGGAGACCATGTTTATTTATAAGATATCTATGGAGCTGCTTAGGAAAAGTATTTTCTTTAATTCAAACGTATTCCTTCTCTTCTCCCTTCTGCTATATTCTCATATATATCCCAGGGCAAAACCAGTGCATGTGGTAGCAGTTTCCCAAATGACAACACTTAACATGTAAAAGCCAAGAACTACTTGGAAAGTAGTAAAAAGTCTTTTCTTTATATTGGGATTGTATCTAAACCAGAGCTGCTCACTCCTGTGGGGCACAGTCTCCTTCCCTTGGTGCAGGAAACAGAAAATCAATGTTCATTAACATCACCTCCAAAAATCCGACTAACCAGAGCCCACCTAGGCCAGCTCTCAGTATCCAGAGGGAAAAAGGTGCACGCTGCTTTTCCACCTCCTGCACGGAACACGGTGGCAACTGCACAGAATATTTCTGGTGCCGATACTTGGAAGATGATCTCTCCTACCCGGAAAACCGTCGAGGAACGGCTCTGTATATGGAAAATGTCACTCGGCCGCTCACCAGCTCCTCCCTGATGTTCAAACCGAGGGTCTGTGCCCTCAGCAGGGTGGGGGGGTCCCACCCATCCGGACAAAGGTGGTCACCCAGAGCTGGTCTCCCCCACGCACCCTCGCCTCGCGCCCTGCGGACTGCGGCCACCCCCGCTGCCGGGGCCACTAAACCCACCGCCCCGTGCTGCCAGCTCCGACCCCACGGCACGGGCAGGGCGGCGAGCGGGACGCGGGGCGGGAGGAGCAGAGTGGACACCTCTGCCGAGAGATCTCCCACGCTCTGCGCCGGGGGAGAGGAGGGGAAGCCCACCCGTGCACCCCTCCTGTTCCACAGGTCGGTCTCAGGGATTATTTCCCTTAGGAATAGATTTATTTCCCTTCGGTAGTAAATCGGGATCTTCAGAAGGCAGTTTTCCCACTGATCCCAGAGATGATCAGCTGTTTTCAGCGTGGATGCAAAAAGTAAGGCAAGGTACACCTCGGATTTAATGCCTGCGTTTCAGTATTTCTGCTTTCTTCTTTTGGGGGATTTCTAGTGGTGGAAGCGGGAGAGTCTAACAGAGGACTGAGAGGAAACTCATGAACTGAGAGGCCAAATCATTCCTGGGTCACAGGAAGAGACAAACTCAGTAATTTGCAAAACTCGGTGCTAAAATAAGAGCCAAGCGTCCGCAGCGTTCTCCACGCCCCGGTCGCGCCTGCGCCGCCCCAAAGGGAGGTGAGGTGCTGTTACGCTGCCCCGGCAGGGAAATGCCCCTTTGGAAGCGGCGGGGACGCTCGGCACTGCTCCCTGGCAGCGAGGCTGCCGCCAGCCACGGGTAGCGCCACGGCCGTTGTCACCGGGCGGTGCGTTACGAACGCTCCCGGTGTGTCCCCCCCTCAGCAGCAAACCCCGCGCGGGGCTCGGCGCCGGGCACGGAGCCAGCACAGCAGCTCCCACGGCACCGGGCCGGGAACCGCGGCCCGAACCAGGGGCTGAGAAACGAGCCCATCGCCTCCCGCGCCCTCCCTCAGGTCCGGGACTCACCGTTATCGAACACGGTGCCCGCCGTGAAGGAGAGCTCCGAGTCGTGTTCTGCTTTGCAGGCGTACAGGGCTCGGGCCTTCCGCAGCGGCGAGCTGCAAGGAGAAAATATTGATTGGGGTAAGAAATACTCGACTCGGACACAACCGCACGCCCCTCCCCGCTGTGCTGAAGGTCCACGCAAGGGGTGCCTGTCGAAGAGGGCTCCAAGGAGCTCTGCAAGGGTCCAGGGTGACGCTGCTCAGGGGAAGAGCGAGGAAGACGCCAGAGGAGGCTGAAGGCTCCCAGTTTTCACCGCACCGGGAATCCCAGTCCGAGCGCAGGACCAGAGCCCGTGCCCGGAGCCCAGGCACAGGCAGCCCCCAACCAGGGGTCCCCGGGAGAGCTCCAGGCGCCGGCCGGGAGGGGCCAGCGGGGAGCGGGAATGTCTTGTGATTCTCTGCGGGGCGCGGAGGGCGGGCGCGGGGTGCGGGGGCTGCAGCCGCCAGCGCCCACCCCTGCCCAC